TAGATATATTTTTGGAGATTTAATAGAGTTATGAGGCAATCCATAAGTTCGTCATTTTTAGGTTATCTTGGTTATTCATTGCATACCGAGTCCGGGAATCAACCTTATATTGAATCAGATATACGTAAGAATACTTGCATTAAATTCTTTTTAATTTTATATTATACTAAAGTTATTTATACTCTTTTAACTATAGAGGCTGTCCCATTTCCGGATCCACTTAATACAACTTCTTCCCGTAAGAATATTTTATTAAAAATCATTCTTATTATTTATATCATTTATTTTTACCTTCTAAATATTCATGTTAATTAATGATATAGAGACTGTGAATGGAAGTTATTATGCATCATTACAGTTTATCGTAGATCCTAAGCTTGTTATAAGGAAAGAAATAGAACAAAGGTAAATAATCATAAATGAATCCATTTTATTAATATTTATCAACACTTACGAACAATTTTACAAATAATGCATAATAGGAGCAAATCTGTAAGTAGTATACATAATATATTAACTTCTGCAAGCAAAAAATATTTATTGTCATTTAAATAAATAGATTTTTAGCTTACTGGGTATTATGGGTGGAATTTGGAGTTCCATGGTAGCTTTTTACGTATTTTTATTTGGTAGGTTGACTTTTAAAATTAAATCACAACTAATGAATTGATTTACTAACCCATTATTATTGTTTTTTCTTTTGTTTATTAATAATTAGGTTATGGCATGATCTACCCATGGGGTCTTGTACAAAGATTAGGTCCGTTCAAAGAAAAATATAAAGAAAAACTCTCATCATTGGATGTAGAGTTGCAATCTGATGATCCTGATATTAAAGAAACTTTTAACACCAAAGAATATGAGATTTCCTCAATCCGAAAACAACTTAATGATTTCGAAAAGAGACTTAAATTCTATGAAAACATTGTCGATACATCAATATTAATTTCTAATGAGACAGGTGCATCACCCACTACTGGCAATAAGTATTTCTCCCTGAGATGATATCATAAAAACTTTTAGGATATGTAATAATTGCGATATATGTACGTACGTTCTCACTTTTGAAATAACACGGGCTTTGCCATAAGATTATTGACCAATCATAAACTGGCTTTATTTTAATACTTATAAAAAATTGTTTAGTGTTTATTTTGTGATTCTTTCCAAATTTATTGTATCGATATGCATTGATTCGTCATTTTTAATATCCATTTTTTGTATGATCTTTATCTTGAACATTACGTTACGTAACGCCCGTAACGCGGAATGTAGAGATTCGTATTGATTTTGATTTTAAATGTACTTTACAGTACTTAAATTTAGGATACTATATT